CTTCTATTAGATCAGTGCAGGAATAGTACTTTTAATAGGAAGTACAGGCTAAAAGAACACACAACGCGGAGTCATTGCTGGTTAGAAGTTCTTGTAAGGCCTGTCTGTCTGGCTGTGTGTGGGTGTTGGATTTGGGTGCGAATGAGAAGGTGTAAATCTACCTGTGTGCGCGTGTCGGTGGTGTGCATGCGTACGTACGTGCGTGTGTGTGTAATCGCTTACTTGTGTCTGTGTGCCCGTAGCCCAAAACCACTGGCACTGGGACTGCTGTGTCAGACCCAGAGACAGACAGGGTTAGGTTAGGCAGGACGTGCCAAGGCTAGATTACACAGTGGCTTGCTGGAATCCAGTTCCACGCTGTCCTGACAGCTTATAGCCCTTCCATACTGGAAACTGTAAATAGTACAGATCTGTCTGTCAGTCTAATCACCATAGCCTGGATGGGCCACAGTCACCTCACATGCACTGGCTAGCTTTCTATTTATACATAGTCACTACACTCTACACAATCTGGTACATAAACTACAAAAGCACGGATTTCAACCCACATGGATGCGAAAGGGATAGATAGCCTGTTTCCTGTTTGTGCTGTCTTGCTAACTTCTATGGTCATTGTCAAGCCAAACATGGAAGACAGCTGATACCAGCTATCTTTTCCCATCCATTTCGGTTGAAATTAGTGCTTTTATGGGTGTTGTTGTTGCTGAGCTAGGTTATCCTCCTCTTCCCAACCTGGTCCCAGATCTGTTTGTGCTGTCTCACCAACTCCTATGGGTCATTGTCGCGCCAAAATGACCATCAGAGATGACAATGCAGTAGCACAAACAGATCTGGGACCAGGCTTTCTCCTCCTGTCCATGTGGGTTGAAATCTGTGCTTTTATATAGATGTTGTTTATGAACCAGAGCAGTGATTATGTCTGTCAGCCACAGGAGTACAATGGTAGCTCACACCTCAAGTTACACAGCTAACCTTAACCCCAACCTCAAGTTAATTAAAAAGTTTGGGTCCCATAGTCTCCTACCCACATAGTCTGAACCGACAGGGAATATGGTCCCAAATGGCACCATATTCCCTACATTGTGCACTATTTATGTGATAGTGGTGCATTATATAGGGAATAGGTAATAGGCTGCCATTTGGGACCCAGCCCATGGTTCATACAGTATGTGGATGGAAGGAAGGAGAGGGCTTTCAAAGAGCTTAGATTTAATGGTTTGCAAACCAATGTGGTGCTAAGGAAAGTCAAGGACTTATTTCCATTGTGGTCCTCAAAATGCTTTCACAAACAGTATGGTTGGTCGGTGGGCACAAAGGAAGTGTCTCTCGCTACCACCCATCCATGTTGGCATTGTGCTTGTTTACTGTTAGCAGGGTTTGCCTGCGAGGCACTTTTCCCCACTCTGCTGAGGCGTGGGCAATGGGCTTCCGGGCTGGTGTGTGTGCTTGCGTGCAACTATGTGTGTGTGTGTGTGTGTCCGTCTGGAACCATGTGTGAGCTCAGTGTGAAGGGAGAGGTTCTGTTACCAGCGTGTTATTGACTGACGGTTTGGCTCCACCGTTGCTAGGGCCCACTGTTATGAGAGGCTCAGGCCAGACATGGGGATGAAGAGAGATGGAGGGGAGATGGAGGGAGAGGGAGAGTCCACTTGGTGTGAATGGGTTGTGTTTACGCAGCAGACAGACAGTGTTTAGCATGGAGCGCTAGTGGTTTGTATTTATTCACATTATCTCAGCGGAGTGTTGGAGAGTGACTGGGGCTTTGGTTGGGCTGGGGCTGGACTGGGGAGGGGCACCCCAGATACTGTTCCATATAGCCACTCTGCCAGGTACTGTGCCATATAGCCACTCTGCCAGGTACTGTGCCATATAGCCACTATGCCAGGTACTGTGCCATATAGCCACTCTGCCCAGGTACTGGACTGTGCCCATATAGCCACTCTGCCAGGTACTGTGCCATATAGCCACTATGCAGTACTGTGCCATATAGCCACTCTGCCAGGTACTGTGCCATATAGCCACTCTGCCAGGTACTGTGCCATATAGCCACTCTGCCAGGTACTGTGCCATATAGCCACTCTGCCAGGTACTGTGCCATATAGCCACTCTGCCAGGTACTGTGCCATATAGCCACTCTGCCAGGTACTGTGTCATATAGCCACTCTGCCAGGTACTGTGCCATATAGCCACTCTGCCAGGTACTGTGCCATATAGCCACTCTGCCAGGTACTGTGTCATATAGCCACTCTGCCAGTACTGTGCCATATACCACTCTGCCAGGTACTGTGCCATATAGCCACTCTGCCAGGTACTGTGTCCATATAGGCCACTCTGCCAGGTACTGTGCCATATAGCCACTCTGCCAGGTACTGTGCCATTAGCCACTCTGCCAGTACTGTCCATATAGCCACTTCGGCCAGGTACTGTGGCCCATAAGCCACTCTGCCAGGTACTGTGTCCATATAGCCACTCTGCCAGTGGCATAAGCCCTCCAGGGTACTGTGCCATATAGCCACTCTGCCAGGTACTGTGCCATATAGCCACTCTGCCAGGTACTGTGTCATATAGCCACTCTGCCAGGTACTGTGCCATATAGCCACTCTGCCAGGTACTGTGCCATATAGCCACTCTGCCAGGTACTGTGCCATATAGCCACTCTGCCATCTCTGCGGTGTGTGTGTTTTGGAAGTATGATCACTGATGAAGAACGGCCATGTGTTGTCATGCGTATCTGCATTAAAAGGTGTGCCTTTTAGAACTGCGTATGTGTGTGCTGGTGTGTGTATCTGTGTGTGTGCCTTGGCCCAGTACCACGGCCCAGTCTCTGCGGGCCCCTAGGAACTCTGTCTGTCTGTTTGAAGCCAACATCAGTCAGTTTGAAGCCCCCCCCCCCCCCCCTACACACACACACACACACACACACACACACACACACACTTCACATGACGTGGCTCAATCCTCTCAGTCCTCTACTATAAAATCCATATTTTTGAATGGAAGTGTGCTGTAGTGCTGTAGTCAGCTTGTCAACAAGTGGTTATCAGACAGCTAGCTTTCTCTTTAGAGTTGTGAACCGGATTTACGCTCTATTTTAGAAAGCTGTGTTGGTTCAAAATAAAATGCTATTGTGGTTAAACTTGTTAATGGGGCAGCTCTTCCTCTCAAGGTGACTCACTGGTGTTACTTAAGGTAGCCTGGTCCCAGATCTGTTTTGTGCTGTTTTGCCAACTCATGTCCTATGGTCTTATCACTGGCTATACAGCACAAACAGAACTGAGACCTGGCTATATCAAAGGGGACTTATTTGACTTTCAACCAGTGGACCTCAGCAGAAGGAGTGGGTGTTCTCAGCTCTGTCATCATATAGAGTCATTGTCTGAGTTTTCCCACCCATAGTGAACGTTGGGCAACCCATTCCCTTAGTCAGTTGGTTGCCAAGCAAAAGTGAAAAGTATGAGCCACACTTACACAAACACATCATTTCTCTATTTTCTGTTGCTCAAAGCAGAAGTTTCTCAGACTGTGTTTTGCCATCTGAAGTGACTGGTGCCAGGATCTGTCAGGCTAACTGCATGCAGGGGAAAGTCAAAACACTACCTAGGTTGAGTCTCACTACTTAGGATGCACCCTTATTCTCAGTACCAAAACCCACGGATTGCTACCACTCTCTCTCAAACACAAATCATGTTGACAGGTGTCTCTCTCTGTCTTTGAGAGCAGCAGTTTTAGTCATACAGAGAGGAAAAATTTACATATGTACTGAAAATCTAGACTAAGCAGAGTGTAAAGAGTCGCTCTGGGTACGAGCGTCTGCTCAATGTCCAAAATGTAATTGTAATGTAAGCTGAGCTGTTAGAGTAGCCTTGGTCCAGATGTGTTTGTGCTGTAAAGCCCAACTCCTATAGGTTGACAGTGACCTTAGGAGATGGCAAGACAGCACAAAAACATCTGGGACCAGGCTAATGTTAAAGTGTGATCTACCCCAAACAGGACAGGGGTTCTGAAAGGTAGTAGGGAGTTGTGGAGTCGAGAGTAGTACTGTTATTGTCCTCTTTTCCCTCACGTCCTGCCACAGTGGGCTACTTCTACTTTTCAGGTTTCTATTGTTGAGGGGAGGAAGCAATAGCAATGGAATGAGCTGCAGTAGCGCTAGCTGCAGTGCCCGAGACAGACAGACAGACAGACAGACAGACAGACAGACAGACAGACAGGTGAGAGGTAGTACGACAGATGGTGAGAGGAAGGCTAGGAGGACAAATGACGGCCCAGGGATCAAAAAACTGGTTGGAGACGAATGTCTCCTGTCCTCACAACCACACAGACATGGGTTCAAATAATATTTGATTTCTTCCAAACACTGTCAGTCTGTCTGAGTAATAGCTGAGGCCTGTGCCTGTGCCTCTGCCAACTCTGGGTTACTGTAGGCAGCAGCTACTGAAGAAGACTACTCTCTTTCATGGTGCTAGTGGCCAGATGAAACAGTCGGCTGGTGCTCACCACAGGATGCAGGGGGAGATTATCTGCACATTTGGACGTGCACTCATCTGTCTGCTTCCTCCAGGATCTGCCTTCAGAATAGCCTTTTACACTACATTATTACATCTGATTGATTTTGGGACGTTCCTTTTGGAAAATGCCCACTTCTGTTAGTTGTCTTCTCTTCGGCCCACTCTTCCTTAGGTCAGAGTGTCTGGGACCATTTGAAGGCCCCTTCTTTGGGCAGGCTCAGGGGCTTGAAGGGGGTCGCTGTTGGTGGTGGGTAGTATGGCTGTTTGAAGTCCTGTGTGGTTTGACAGGCTGGTCAGGTGGTGTGGTGCAGGAAAGGAAAGGGGGTTACTCTGTGCCTAATGTTAGTTGTTGGCTGTGGGCTTGGCTGGCTCCATCAGGCCCAGAAATCAAAAGGCTCTTTATGAGGTGTTGTAAAGTAGAAAGACTGGTTTGAAGGAGTGTGCTGTGCGCTTTGCTCTCTGCCTGCCTCAGACTGAAACTCCAATTTTAACATGGACTCTGAGGACACAAGCAGTTACCAGTCCCACCTGCTGCCTGCCTTCCTGCTCTACTCTGGTGTGGGCTGCCCACCTTGTCTGGAAGTTTCAACATTTATTTTGCAGGATACAGCAGGTGTAAAACAGTACAGTGAAATCTTTCCCAACAATGCAGTATTTAATATCAAGGTAAGGGAAGAATATAAATAAAATAAAAATATGCAGGGTCAGTGCCAGTAGCATAATTACAATCTGCAGGTACCAATAGAACTTTCGTAGAACTCAGAACTTCAGGTCTACAAGTCAGAAAACCCACTTATGCAATATTTGCATTTGTGGAACGGGGATTGATGATTCTTCATGTACATGTCAATGCTATAGAGTGCATTTCTCTCTCTCTTTCTCTCTGTCTTTATCTCTCTCTCTCAGACAGTGAGCGTACACACATATGTCTGCATATGTGTTTCGTGACTTGGTGCTGGTTATGACAGCGGGGTGTAAATTCCTGTGGGGTGGGTTAAGTTGGTGGGTTCTCTGCTCTGTCTGTCCACATTGGTGTGTTCTTCTTCTCCCCTCTCATCAAGAAAGCAACTCAGGAAGAAGGGAAAGTAAGAGAAGAAAACGCTTCCTCCCCCGGAAGGAAACTCCATCCTCCTAAAGCTCCTCTCCTTCCTCAAGACGCACCCAAGCGTAAAAGCTCTATCTCATCCTCGGACCCAAGAGACTTCCAGAACTCCCAGCCCAGCCACGTCAGCTCTCTCTCATCATCCTCCTCTTCCCCCCTCCTCTCCCCCTCTCTCTCATTTCCTCATCCCCTTTCCTCCTCTCCTCTCCTCTCCCTCTCCTTCCCCTCCTCTTCATCTCATCCTCTCATCTCCTCTCCTCTCCTCTCCTCTCCTCTGAGTGGTGAACCAGTCCATCTCCAGTTTTATTTATTACAGCCTTATTCTAAGATTGATAAAATTGTTTTCCCCCCTCATCAATCTACACACAATACCCCATAATGACAAAGCAAAAACAGGTTTTATAGAAAAAAAATCAAATTTGTTACAAATAAAAAACGGAAATATTACATTTACATAAGTATTCAGACCCTTTACTCAATACTTTGTTGAAGTACCTTTGGTAGAGATTACAGCCTTGAGTCTTCTTGGGTATGACGCTACAAGCTTGGCACACCTGTATTTGAGGAGTTTCTCCCATTCCTCTTTGCTGATCCTCTCAAGCTCTGTCAGGTTGGATGGGAAGCATTGCTGCACAGCTATTTTCAGGTCTCTCCAGAGATGTTCGATCGGGTTCAAGTCCGGGCTCTGGCTGGGCCACTCAAGGACATTCAAAGACTTGTCCCGAAGCCACTCCTGCATTGTCTTGGCTGTGTGCTTAGGGTCGTTGTCCTGTTGGAAGATGAACCTTCAGCCCAGTCTGAGGTCCTAAGCGCACTGGAGCATGTTTTCATCAAGGATTTCTCTGTACTTTGCTCCGTTCATCTTTGCCTCGATCCTGACTAGTTTACCAGTCCCTGCCGCTGAAAGAAATCCCCACAGCATGATGCTGCCACCACCATGCTTCTCCGTAGGGATGGTGCCAGGATTCCTTCAGACGTGACGCTTGGCATTCAGGCCAAAGAGTTCAATCTTGGTTTCATCAGACCAGAGAATCTTGTTTCTCATGGTCTGAGAGTCTTTAAGTGGATGCACCTGAGCTCAATTTCGAGTCTCATAGCAAAGTGTCTGAATACCTATGTAAATAAGGTATTTCTGTTTTAAATTTCTAAAAGCCTGTTTTCGCTTTGTCATTATGGGGTATTGTGTGTAGATTGCTGAGGATAAAAAAAATGTTTACCCCTTTTTCTCCCCAACTTTCATGGTATTCAATTGGTAGTTACAGTCTTGTCCCATCGCTGCAACTCCCGTACGGACTCGGTAGAGACGAAGGTCGAGAGCCGTGCGTCCTCCGAAACACAACCCAACCGAGCCCCACTGCTTCTTGACACAATGCCCGCTTAACCCGGAAGCCAGCCGCACCAATGTGTCAGAGGAAACCCCGTACACCTGGCGACCGTGTCAGCGTGCACTGCGCCCGGCCCGCCACAGGAGTCGCTAGTGCGCAATGGGACAAGATCATCCCTGCCGGCCAAACCTTCCCCTACCCTGGAAGACGCTGGGCCAATTGTGCGCCGCCCCATGGGTCTCCCGGTCGCGGCCGGCTGCGACAGAGCCTGGACTCAAACCAGGAACTAGTGGCACAGCTAGCACTGTGATGCAGTGCCTTAGACCACTCGGGAGGCCCTGGATTTTTATTTATTTAATCCATTTTAGAATACGGCTGTAACGTAACAAAATGTGGAAAAAGTCAAGGGGTCTGAATACTTTCTGAATCCACTGTAGACCTGACACTATCCCAGTTGAAAGGTATACAGTGATTCAAAAGAGCTTACAGCAATTCAACTTGAACAGTATTGTCATCAGAATTATTGGCAACGTTTCAACCAATCTTGACCACAGGGGTGTAGAGCTGATAGTGTCAGCAGAATGAAGAGTTTACATGAACTGTCAACCCATATAAAAAGCCATGACACCACAGAGGGAAATTATATAGCACTGCATCAGATCCTCCGGAAGAGAGGAGTGCGATAAAAAGAGGAAGGAAACTTGTATGGTGCTGAAGGACCTTACACAAGAGGGATGGCAGGAAGAGGTGTGCAGAGAGAGAGAGAGAGCGAGAGAGCGAGAGAGCGAGAGAGCGAGAGAGAGAGAGAGAGAGAGAGAGAGAGAGAGAGAGAGAGAGAGAGAGAGAGAGAGAGAGAGCAGCTGCTGATGATGGATATTGATTCCTAACTCTCTCTTTAGCTTGAAGTCAGACTCAGAGAAAGAGGAAGAGAGAAAGCGAGAGAGAAAGACAGAGATGGCACTACAAACAATGGAGGGATGCCACTGTCTCTGTCCCCAATGTTGTGACACAGGCTAGTCCTGGGGTTGTTGTGGTATAGTAGAGTAGTAGAAACACCCATAAAAAGTTGGAGCATCAAGAGTACCTGTCTTTTTTAAAGTAAAGTAGGGCCCTCCCCTTCCTGTAGGACCACAGCCTGTGCCATTGGGATAGGTGCCAGGGGCTCATAGGATGGCTCTGCCCAGTGTGCCAGCTTGTCTCTCAGTCCCACTGTTCCCCAACCTCTTCTCAATCTGGTGCCCTTCTGCCAGTCTGTCTGGCCACCCTGTCTAGTCTACACACACACCAGGCACAACTGTCCGTCGCTCCCTCACACACTCTCTCACACACTCTCTCTCACACACACACACAGTACACCCTTACGGAAAAAACAAAAACACATGTTTTCTTGTAATCACGAAATCATGTGTTTTTTCTGTAAGGGCACACACACAGCACAAAACACATGCACACACACACACACACAGCGTTCACACAGTCTCTGGCAATCTCATCTCACTATCTAGCCTGTGACAGTAACATGCAAGGAAAGGAAAATACAGCTTCAGGTTCTTTAATCAAGTTAAGAGATGTGGCCATATGTGTACTCTAACTGTCTACAGTAAACACAACCAATACAAAGAGCAATGTACAGCATTACAACTAGCACATACTAGCACCACCATATTGGAGCAGTACAGTGTGTGGAAGCACCAGTGCGCAGAGCCGAGAGCAGAGGAGTGTAGTCTGCAGAGACTGGGCAGAGCCACTGGCTGGAAGAGTTCCCACTCTGAACTGAGAGGCCACAGTTATATTCACATAGAGGCTAGCACGCACACACACACATTAGCCACATACGCACACACTCTCGCTAACTCACATGCCAAGACTCTCCCTGGAACAGTGTCCCAGTGAAGATTCAATCACACCCACCCACAGTCACGTAGACCAAATCTACAGGCAGCCTATTGTGAAAGAATAGTTGTTCCTCTGCCAGTGTGTCTTGCTAGCTAGCTGCTCGGTTAAAACAAGGGTTGCGCAACAACACAAAATGCCTGAGGCACTAAAGCAGGCCGACATGGACAGAAATCGATATCACGATAATGATAAATAGAAGGATATGTTTATAACGTTCATGTGCAGCAGTTAAGTTACTTTTATATATTACCGTGCGCTTAGAACTACTACTACTATGAATTGTGTAACTATCAAGTGTACCATCAGCAATAGCCCATATTAGCAGACTTATTTCATTTCAAACTTCACATTTCTCTAGTAGAGGCTACTTATCATGATTATCGATATCAATTAACTGTCCTCGATAAATGGTTGGTGCGGTCAGTGTCGATCATTTCTGGTTTATTGTCCCAGCTCTATGAGGCACACAGTCAAGCCTTTGCTCTGCTCACAATTCAATTGCTATTGCACTCACACTCCTCTCCACTCCTCTCCACTCCACTCCTCTCCACTCCACTCTCCTCTCCTCTCCTCTCCTCCCCTTTCTAGAGAAGACAAAATAACAAACAGGTTTTGAAAATCGCCAGAAAGCCCCTTCTCTTTTGTTCTCTGTTTGTTCTTTCTTCATTCTCTCCTTCTTCTATTGGTTGAACGTCAAGGGAAGTCGATTGGCCCAGTTGACGTTGACCTAGAATTGAATGTAAATGACCTTCAGCTAAACGGCTATTTCTGTCTAGAGCACTTACATTTCACATCTAATGAGGGGCAGTGAAAGGATGTTACTGATGTAACTCCGCAGATGGTGGGGTGTGTGTGTGTACCTGCATGCGTTTTCATGTGCCTACGTGTGTGTGCATGCGTGTGTGTGTGTATGCGCGCGCATGTTTATGTGTGTGTGTGTGTGTGTGTGTGTGTGTGTGTGTGAGACTCTGGATTAGTGTAGGTCATGGCAGTGCAGCTGGGCCACTTGTGTACAGAGGCCATTGAAAGAGGGGGATTAGAGGTAAACTGATATGAGCAGTGGCTACTGATAACTCAACTATACCCTCATCTCTTCTCTTCTCCTCCCCTCTGTCACCCCCTAACACATAGCCCCCACCCACCTCTCCTCTCGTCCATCACCAGCCTGCAGCTCTCTGGAGGGGGATTGTCATGCAAATTGAGGTCCAGGCTTCAGAACTGATAAGAGGGCCTCTCATTTCAGAGGCATTTGTTTTCTAAACAGAGATGAGCTGGGTTTGGGGGGCAGGGGTAGACAGGGAGAGACAGGGGTAGGGGTTCAGGGGGGTTGATTGAATGGCTCCATGTCATCATTATTGTGGGCCTGCTTTCCAGGGGTGGGGTAAACGTGGAGCGGTATTTGGATAGGTAGGTGTGTGTGTGTGTGTGTGTGTGTGTGTGTGTGTGTGTTGTGTGTGTGTGTGTGTGTGTGTGTGTGTGTGTGTGTGTGTGTGTGTGTGTGTGTGTGTGTGTGTGTGTGTGTGTGTGTGTGTGTGTGTGAGAACAGGAGTCGTGTTCTGTTTTACTACGGCAGGAACCAGTTCAGGTGGTTGATGGATTTGTTTGTCCTTATCTGTCCTAGTTTCTCTCTCTCTCTTTCTCTCTCTCACTCCACCCCCCTTCTATATCTCCCTCTCTGCCCCCCCCCCTTCTCTTGTTCCACCTCTCCGCTGCTCAGACAGTGTCAGTCAGTATCAGTCAGTATCCATTTCTTGACCCCACACAGGATTTGTCCTTTTCAAAGAACTTGTCAACACATCGCCCCAGAGTCTCATTTACTGCTGTTATTATTGCATAAACACACAAGTTCATGGCACGTTCACCGCGGTTCTGTGTTTGATACATTCAGAGCCAAGAGGATAGCTGCAGGTCCACTGCTGCAGAAACAGTGTGCATACCAAATGGCAGCCTATTCCCTATTTAGTGCACTGCATTTGACCTGGGCCCATTTTTGACCTGGGTCAAGAGTAGTGCACTATATAGGGAATATGGTGCTATTTGGGTTCCAGACACAGTTGTTTATTTTAGAGTGGTTAGAGTAGAGAGGGTGATTTGTTACTTTAGTATTGGGTTTATTCCTCTAACTGGTTTAACAGATTTACCTCAAGCTGTTTCTGAGAAGGAATTTAGGCTGTAGACTATGATTATCTCTTGTAGTAGTAGTAGTAGGTGAAAAATATGTCGATGTGCCCTTGAGCAAGGCACTTAACCCTAATTGCTCCTGTAAGTCGCTCTGGATAAGAGCGTCTGCTAAATGACTAAAATGTAATTGTAGCAGTAATTGTAGCAGTACTAGCAGTAGCAGGGTTACAGTAGAAGCAGCAGTAGCTAACAGCAGTAGCAGCAATGATGGTCATCTTGGTCTTGAACAAGGCTAGCCCTGAGGGGCAACAACTGTGTCCTCCTCCCCTTCTCTGTCCCCTGGCTTTCTCTGTTGTTGTTTTTGATCAAATTCCTCCTTTTATATCCCCTTTTTCTTCTTTTTGAAGTCCCCACTCTTGTAAAAAGGCAAGCTGGTGGTTTGGCCTGAGCCCAGGGTATGAGGGAAGGGGGAGGGAAGGGAAGAGGGACTGGGGAGTGGGGATTGTAGGTTAAGTTTAAGCTAGCCCTGCGGTTTCCATTGAAGGTGCTAGGGGGAGGTGGGGGCAGTAAAAGTTAGAATTCTAGAGCCTCCCTGTTTTTATTTTATGATTGGGGCTGCTTCTTTTTACGAGCCTGGGTCTACAGCTGGTGGTGTGAATAGCTGCCCAAGGTGACTGGATCCTAATAAAGGCCGGGCCAGCAGGGATGGGGCCTCCAGCCCAGCCATGAGACTGTCTTTATTGACCAGCTTATGAGCCTGGGCCTCTATTAAACCCTGCCAGGGCCAAGCTGAGGAATTTAGAGCCAGGAAACCAAGAGGCAAAAAGGGTTTGTGTGTCAGGGGGTGGTGGAGTTTGGAGGCTGGAGTTGGAGAAGTTGGGGAGTTGAAGTTTGAGGGGTGACCGGGGTGAAAGTTGAAAGAAGTGTTGTTAGGGAGGGGGTCAACATGTGTTTGCCTGTTATTGAGAGTGTGCAGTGTTAGCTGTGTGTGTGTGTGTTTGTCAGTGTGTGTGGCGGTGTCGGTATGTATGTTGGTGTGTGTGTGCGCGTGTGTGTCTCTCGTGGGAAGTATGGAATCCAGACGTTGTGTAGCTTAGTGCCCAAAGGGGCTTATTTAGAACATCATTCTTTTTAATTTAGCGTAGAAGCATGTGACTCAAGGTACAACTGTGACGTCAGTGGTATGGCAGTCAGCTTGTGGGACTGGGTTTGAACAGGAGTGGCACAAGTCTGCAGCCTGCAGCAGTGGGAGGGGCAGACAGATTCAGACGCCAGTTGTGCATGAACATTTTGGTCTCTCACCTTCCTATACCTTAGCTACCTTGTGGGGTGTGTGGTAGATTTCTCCTGAGGCAAGTGGATGCCAGTCTCAGTGAGTCAGTCACTGTGGAATGAGGAATCCCTAACTCCAGCCACAGCCCCGCCCATTCAGCCCCGCTATCAGAGACTGAGATCTGTCAATCTAATCAGTCACACCTCCACTTATCCTCACTTATCTGCCTGTTGTAAAATTGTTTGTTTTCTTTACCTCTGTCAATTACAACCCCTCCCAACTCTAAAACAGACACTTAACTCTGATCTGTGACCTCTGGTCAGTGCTGCCCCCTTAGGGTGAACGATGGGAGGGTGCACTTCTCCCTACCAATAGTCAGCCAAAACCTTTCTCCCTGTCTTTATTTGGTGTAGTCTAACCTAAGCATGACTGAGTGAAACTGTACGATAATGGCTCGCTAACAACTGTATTCGACTACAAGCAAAAATATAATAAAATCAAGCAACTCATCCACCTCTCTTCTCTTTTCTGTAGCGGTGGAGACCCAGAGCACCAGCTCAGAGGAGATGGTCCCCAGCTCTCCCTCTCCACCTCCCCCACCACGCATCTACAAACCCTGCTTTGTGTGCCAGGACAAGTCCTCTGGCTATCACTATGGGGTCAGCTCCTGTGAGGGCTGCAAGGTGAGGAGGCCCCTGCTTCATCATCATCATCATCACACGCACACACACACACACACACACTGACAACACTCAAACTCAACACTGGCAGGCAGCATGCAAAAAATGATCTAGTTTCTAATGTAAAAAAGTATGACATAGCTAACAATGTAGGATAAAGCAGGTGAAAGTATTGAACACAAGATATTGAGAATGTAATAGATCAAATTCTGGATGAGAAAATCATAACAGTACAAAACGTACTAAAATGTTTCAGTTGTGAATCCCGGATTTGATAAATGAACAGACATGAAAGGTTGAAAGATAACAGACGGATACATGACCGTTACAATGTTACTCCCTCCATCAGACCGTATTTCGTAATAATTATTTTCCACCTCTCTCTCTTCAATCATTTCTCAGTATGTGATCGTTACAATGTCACTCCCTCTATCAGACCGTATTTCATCTGTTCTTTTCCCTTTCTTCTCTGGTTTCCAGGGTTTCTTCCGGCGCAGTATCCAGAAGAACATGGTGTACACCTGTCACAGAGACAAGAACTGCCAGATCAACAAGGTCACCAGGAACCGCTGCCAGTACTGCCGACTGCAGAAATGCTTCGAGGTCGGCATGTCCAAGGAAGGTGAGAGACGTAAGAGAGGCTGGGGGATGGGGGCTACTGACCTAGGACATCCAGGCCCTGTGATACAGAAGTATGAACGCAAACACACAAATGCACACACACTCATGCACAAACACACACATGGAAGTAAACACAGGCACACACACACACACTCGGAGTATATAAACAAAGCACTCAATATGCTTTTAGATAGTCGTTGGTAGAGTTTGATATAAAATGATTCACCCAGCAGGAAGTATGAAGGGAAACGAAGAAGCAGCAGGGTAGTGATTTGGAAAGACTGGGCACAGTATCAACCTTATGACTAATCATGTTACTAAATGACTCTTCCTGCGAACCAGTGTCCCAAATGACCCCCTATTCCCTATATAGTGCACTACTTTTGTCCGGTGCAAAGTAATGCACTTTATAGGGTATAGGGTGCCATTTGGGATGCAGACTAAGTGTTTCACCAGTCATCTCACTCTCAACACACCCTTGCCCTACCAAAACCCCTCATCTTTCATTCACACTTTCATTTCAGTATAGTAGCTCTCTATAAAAATTGCCTTTTTGAGTTGGCTCCAACTGATCATTCTGTTATAACAAATACAAAAGTGAGAGTAATAGCAAATTCTCAGTCACAAAGACCTCAATTTACTCAATGCGACGGTGTGTGTGTGAGAGTGTGTGTGATGTGAGTGGCAGGAAGGTTTGCCCATGGGACACGTATATGGGTGTAATGTTTGTGTGGGATGTGTGTTAGGACCAGGATCACATTGTCCCTCTGCTATTTCTTGATATCCTGAGAGGAAGGAAAGAATGGGAGGAGGGAGAGAGAGGGAGGGAGGCCATGGACAAAGAGGAAGAGGATGGGAGATAACAGTGAATGAAGAGATAGTGTCATCACTGTATTGTATAAAATGGGTTAACAGCTGGTTCATAACATTACTGAATTGCGGAGCATCAGTAGTAGGCCAACATAGATTCTCACTCACATGTTGAATGTTCCTCCTCCTCTTAATCCTCCTGCCCCTCCTTTTCCGCTCCCCAGCAGTGCGTAACGACAGGAACAAGAAGAAGAAGGACGTGAAGGAGGAGATGGTGTTGCCAGAGAGTTATGAGCTGAGTGGAGAACTGGAGGAGCTGGTCAATAAAGTCAGCAAAGCCCACCAAGACACCTTCCCCTCACTGCTGCAGCTGGGCAAATACCACACCGTAAGACTCTCATACATTTTGAAAGTTGTACTTTTTTCTGTTTGAACATACTGATTCACATCACATGTAAAGACACAAATCCACTATGAACATGCACACTTTCCCAACTCAAAAGGCCAGTTCAGGGTAAATCAAATTTATCCAATGGTCATTTGAGAGCGTAGTAGGTGATTGGTTGGTGTACTGTAAGACCGTGAGAGCATTCTACCTAGTTGGTTGATGTCCAGTCAGTGGTGTTATTATTCTACCTGATCGATGTATAGTAAGAACCCTGTCAAATCAAATTTGTATTGGTCACATACACATATTTAGCAGATGTTATTGCGGGTGTAGCGAAATGCTTGTCATTTAACCCTGTCTGTGTCCCTGCCAACCCCACGCTCACTAATGATGGGAAGTTCGGCTCTTTTCTGAGAGCCGGCTCTTTTGACTCGGCTCCCAAAGAAGAGCCGGCTCTTTCGACTCCCGAACGGCTCTTTATTTAGGATCTTTTGTAGCCTATATTTTACCTTAACTTTGAAAAAAAATCATGGTTTATGTGTTGAAAACCCTTTTGCTTTCAGTGTTTTTATGAGAGACCTTATAATGCCTAATTCTGTGCATTTATTCTGTGACAAAACCACTCTTACATTTGTTTATTTCAATTAAACTTTTTTATTGCACAAATTAACAATAAACTTCAAACAAATCCACAGAACAGAATCAAAACCAGAACCAAACTCCAGCAAACAGCATTAGTCCTCAGGGCAGGTTGGCATTCAGGAAGATCAGATGCCTCAGCTTGGATGGGCTGATAGGCCTGATACGATTTCGCCTCTCCGTGAGTATCTGCCCTGTTTTGGAGAAGATTCTCTCAGAAGGAACTGATGTGGCAACAATACATAGTCTCCCCTCCATCACCTTCACCAGGAGTGGAAAGACTGAGGCCTTGGCCTGCCACCAGCTCAGTGGGTCTTCTGCTCTCTGGATGAGGGGCTCCTCAAGGTAGCTCCTCACCTCCAGGACGGCGCAGACCTCTTTCACCAGCTCCCATTCCTCTTGGCTTAATGGCTCAATAGATGCGTTGATGAGGGCCAGGGTGGAGATGATGGCATCTTTTATTTCAAGCATTCGTTTCAACATATCAAATGTTGAGTTCCACCTGGTGGCACACTCTTGTTTGGGCCTCAGTTCAGGAATCCCCATTTGGCGCTGTGTGGACTTTAGCTTCTGTGCTGCTACTGTGCTTTTGTGGAAAAACTCCACAACAGCCTTCACCTTATCCACGGTTGTTTTGATCACCTTCAGAGCATCTCTAACCACCAGGTTTAGTGTATGCGCCAGACATGGGTGATGGGTCCACTTCAAAACTTTTATGGCTTTGGTGATGTTTGCAGCATTATCACTCACACAGCACACCACTTTGTCCTCTACTTGCCACTCTTTTGCCACTCTTAGTAGCTCCACTGCCAAGTTTTCTGCAGTGTGTCTGTCGGTGAACTCGAAGCAGTCCAGAAGGCAAGATGTCATCTTGTAATCTTCAATAAAGTGGCAAGTGACAGACATGAAAGAGCAGGTTGTTCTGGAGGTCCAGCAGTCAGTTGTCAGGCAAACTGATGGAGCTTTTGTCACCCTTTCTTGCCATAATGCACGTTCTGTGTCATATAGTTTTGGGATCATTGTTTGGGAAAGTGTTTTTCTACTGGGTAGAGTGTATGTGGGATTTAGGGCTTTGACAAAGTTTTTCATTCCTTTGTCCTCCACAATGGAAAAGGGTTGAAAATCAGAAGCTACCATTTTAGCCAACTCATCATCAATACTGTGCTGTTTGGCTGGGGTCATCAGTTTAGGTAAAAACTGACTTATTTTGCTTTGAGTTGCAGTAGGAGAGGTTATACTTGCACGCATGGGGATGGCAGTAGACGTTACAGCAGCTGTTGTTCTGGTATGAGACACACCAGGATCAGTAGATGGTGAGCTGGCTTGCCCTCTCTCCTCTAACTGCACTGTAGGATGGACAGTTCTTGTATGTCTATGCAGGTTTGTGGTGGAACCTGCTCTTATAGTGACCTTCGTTTTGCAGTGAAGGCACTCTGCTTTCTTGTTCCCAATATCTTTAAACTGCAGCCAGATGCTGCTTCGCTTTCTAGTGTCACTCATAGTTAAACGACACGACAATGCAAGACGCACACACGCTCCTCAGTCCGCTCTGTCTCTCTCTTCACTTGCAGTGGAGTCAAGTGGTGTGTCTGCCCCGCCCCCTCTCTGTTTACACATCCTTAATTCTCACGTGAATGCCGCATGCTGGTCGCCATGCTGGCCAATCATAACAGACCTCTGTGAAAGTGAAACCTAAGCAGCGAATGGGCAAAAAACTGGGAGCCGGCTCTCACTCGATGCGAGCCGGCTCTTCTGATTCACTACAAAGAGCCGGCTCTCAGAGCCGATGCTTGTGCGCATGACCCATCACTAACGCTCACTACCTTTCTCTCTTTGTTTCTCTCCTGTCCTCCAGAACTCCAGTGCAGACCACCGCGTGCAACTGGACCTGGGGCTGTGGGATAAGTTCAGTGAGCTCTCCACCAAGTGCATCATTAAGATAGTGGAGTTTGCCAAGCGCCTCCCCGGCTTCACCACCCTCACCATCGCTGACCAGATCACCCTCCTCAAGTCAGCCTGCCTGGACATCCTGGTACTTAGCTGGTTCTTTCTATCCTCTCAACCCCTCTGTCAACGGACACTATTATATTCTCTGGGACTCAGAGACGTGGCAATGTAATATGAGGGGATACTGCCTCTGAGTGGATAGAGGCGGTATTGCAAGAGTAAACCCACATGTAGGCTCACACTATAGAGCGGGAAAGGTGAATAGATGAGGACAGACTAGCCTGTTGTTTTATGGACAATCGATAAAGAACATAGCCTACTTCCTGTTGTACGCAGATATATTTTTTTTATATATCCTTCCTCCTCTCTTTCTCGGTCTTTCCATCTTTACCCATTTTTATTTCACCCCTAGATGTTGAGGATCTGCACGCGCTACACCCCAGAGCAGGACACCATGACTTTCTCCGACGGGCTGACCCTGAACCGGACTCAGATGCATAACGCAGGCTTCGGCCCGCTCACAGACCTGGTGTTTGCCTTCGCTGGCCAGCTGCTGCCTCTAGAGATGGACGACACAGAGACGGGCCTCCTCAGCGCCATCTCCCTCATCTCTGGAGGTACTGCACCCTGAGGGGATTAATACGATTTTACTGTTGGTCAATACAATGTTAAGAACAAATACAGACCTAAATGTCTGTGAGGTGTTAGGCCGCGATAACATCCTCACTCAGTTACAATATCAGTAGAAATGTGGGAATTAAATAGTTTGGTTACACTATATTTGTCACTTTATTTACTTGTTGTTGTCAATGACATGATACAATTGTAATGACCTAAAAATAATCAATTACATCAATCATCAATTACATCGTTCCTATCCTAGTCTGATGGCTATCATGTGTCCAGTTTGTCATGTACAGTGTATATAACTCTGCCCTCTTCCCTGTCAGACCGAATGGACCTGGAGGAGCCCCAGAAGGTGGACAAGCTGCAGGAGCCCCTCCTGGAGGCCCTGAAGATCTACGCCCGTCGCAGACGCCCCAACAAACCACACATGTTCCCCCGCATGCTGATGAAGATCACTGACCTCAGAGGCATCAGCACCAAGGGTCATTATTATTATAGTACAGAATAGTACCCCACAATACACCAGACCACCAGCTAACACACACAGTCATAATAATACATATAGATTACGGTGGATGCAGAACATTTGAGCTAGTACTTTGTTAGGATTACTACCATCATTTCTGGAACATCTAGCACTCTAAGCAAATGCTAAGACATTACTTTCCAGACATGTTAACATGAACGTTTTTTCTGTGGTGTGTGAACAGGTGCAGAGAGGGCCATCACTCTGAAGATGGAGATCCCAGGCCCCATGCCTCCTCTGATCAGAGAGATGTTAGAGAACCCAGAGGCCTTCGAGGACCAGACAGAGAGCAGTGGAGAGAGCTCCCCTCTGCCTGCCCCTCCTGCCCCTCCACCAGCCTCCACCAAGCCCCCCACCACCATGAAGACTGAGGCCGAGGACGAGGAGGACAGCTGGGGGACAGAGAACGGCAGTGAGCCCTCCCAAGAGGAGGAAGATGAGGATGATTATGATGATGGGGAGGAAGAGGACAGGGGCTCGGACAGTGAGGGCGAATCCTGGGCTCTGGAGGGTAGCAGCGAAGGGGATAGGAAGAGCCATGCCGGGAGGGCGCAGTGAGGAGGAGAGGCGATCACACACAAATACAGTCCGTACACTCAAACACACACACTAACTGACGTAGTCATACACACTCGTGTGCGCACACACACAGACACACACACACCCTCCCTACCCCTTCCAATGCTGGCCCTCCCTCCCTAACCTCTGCATTCTCTTTATCTCCCTACTGCACATCAGTCTCTCCAAGCAGGACAGCAGAGACTTACACCTAACTGTACAGACACTATAACTCAGGTTCTCTGACTCACAGGTTCCTGATAAGTGACATGCAGACATGCAGAGAGACTTGCAGAGATACTATTATAAAAGAGGGACGGAGAGACGACATGATCCAACCGACTGGACTTGTGACTCCTGATATAGAGAAGAGGAAAGATGGCGTGAAGACAAAAAAAAAAAAAACGGCTCTCTTTGACGAAACAAATGTCAAATTTTGTATTATCTTCTTGTTTGTATCTACATAAAGGAATGGCCAAAACAGAAAGCACGAACTAAACAGTAGATTATTTCCAACGGATGCGAAGCAAAACACGTTTCTCATAAAGAAAAATACAGGATGAAACCAAACTGAATATACTAATCGATTTTCTTGCTGATATTTGCTTTGGAATATTGTTAAATTTGTTCATGTTTATTTCTTGACTCTTCTTTTTTTTTCAATGTATTAATAAGTCCATACATATCTATATACCATTATATTTGGTTTGTTTGTAATCCTGGTATTGTATATGATTTCTTTAGATGTGGTTTTGTGTTTGAGGAGTTTTCCATTGGATATCCAGAGAGAGACGAATCAGAATCTGAACTGGCAGACCTCTAACTGAATCTTCTTTCCAACTGAGCCGCTGGTGTTTTTTGGGCACTCAGTAATGTTGTGTTACAGTGACTCAAGTTGTAATTTGTGTTGTTATCAGGGGACTAGCATTAATCTATGTGCTTCCTTTCAACGCAACAAACTATGCTGTCGAATGGATAGTGTCTTTGTGCCAAAGTTAGCAACTCAACACACACACACATATCAAATCTTATCTTCTAAATTAGACACACGCATGTACACACACACAGTAAACCTCAAACCTATAACAGATGTGTCATTTTGGCTTTGGTTGTTCAGACAGAGATTGACAGTTGGCCGTAGCACTTGGCTGTGGCACTTTGATATCCTGTTTTATACAATACATCTTTATTGTCCAATATTGACAGTACAGTCAATGGCAATCTCATCTTATCATCAGACATACAATTGAAGAACACAACAGAAATGTAGAGAACTATCATCAAATGCCTGCACTATTTAATGACGTACACAAGCAAACAACACATTATCAACACACACAGATGCATGCAAGTTGTAACCAGGAACTGTTATGGACAATGACATGAAAACAGACTTCTCAGGGCTTCTCTGTTAGTAAGGACCAAACCCTAGCGACCCCTATGCGGTGGGGTGCACTAGAAATAGGCAATATTTATGTGTGTGTATTTTTGACTCAGTCAGTTGGATCTGTCCAGTTAACGCCTAGCTCTGTGTACATAGAAGATAGATGACCAGTCTGCAAACGGCCTGGATGCCAGCCAGTCTGTTACCCTTTTCACACTATCATGCCAACCCAAACCAAACAGTGCTGGCTTGGATATTTTCTTTTCACATTGTCCTTTCCAGCATGGTTCCAGCGACTATGGTGGGTGCATAACCAGGCCAGCTCTGTACAGCTCAGTTTGGCTCGGCTGACTAGTGTGAAAAGCCCTCATCTGTCTCAGACCAGACCTGGCCAGCAGCATTGTCACTGACCTGCCTGACCTGTGCTCTGTGCTGCTGGCACCCAAGAAACCAACTGCCTTCTCATCCAAAAGCCATTAAAATCATCATGTCTTTGTAATGTTGTATGATATACCCTCTGTCTTCTTCAAAGAAGTGGCAGGGTTATGTGTTCTCATGTGTCATTTCTTCATAATCTTCTTTGTTGCCAAAATGTCTCAGTCAATATGTAACCAACTGTTCATAATGCAGCTGGCTGGCTACATGTACATACAGAGTTTTGTATACAGTCTCTCTATGAAGATATATGAACAGGAATGCAACAGACTCCTCCCAGCGGTAGAGAAAGAGGCCTACTGTACAGTACTCTCTGAATGTGGCCCTCCTGATTGGTTTTGAGTGTGTGTATAGGATTTAACATGTCTCCTCTGTCATTGGGTGAATGTTCTCTGTATGGTGCTGTGACGTCACACAGGATCACAGTGGAGCAGAGCGGCAAGGTTTGATGACCTCATCTCCTCTCTGCCTGCCCTGCCAGGACTTCATGATGCAAACGTTGAGATGATGTTGGTTTGATGCCGGTGTACCTTTCTGTAAAACATGGCCAAGGCATTGTCCAATCTTCTGTTCATACCAACTCTGTCATACAAAGAAAAAGCCATATGAACTGTAAGAGGCACAATAAATTACTTTTGTGAGATTAATAACATATTTTCTTTGAGAAATTTCTAATTCTCTTAGAATGTGTTGTAAAACATTTTCTTATCAGTTATGACACTTTAGGATGCACTTATGACACTGAAATGAATATGTCGTAAACAACACTTAAACTGATTTGTTACCAGATGTTTTTATGATAGCCCCGTTCATTCACCAGCCGTGAGCCTTGCTACTGAGTCCATTTAATTATAACTGAGCACTGTAGTGATGTCATCAACACAATGACTATCAATAGTGGGCGCTCTTGCACTGTGGCTACAGAGACCAGCCAGCCAGCAGCAGTGTCTGTAGACCAGCCCTGTGTATCGGATAGAACTGAGCAGGCACTAGTATTACCAGTGTGTTACAATTCTTTAACGTCGCCTCCTACTGTAGACAGATGCATACTTCCACTCTGTGTCCTTGGTATAGCACTACAGTATACACTGAGTTTACAAAACATTAGGAACACCTGCTCTTTCCATGACAGACTGACCAGATGAATCCAGGTGAACGCTATGATCCCTTATTGATGTGACTTTTTAAATCCACTTCAATCAGTGTAGATGAAGGGGAGGAAACAGGTTAAAGAAGGGTGTTTAAGCCTTGAGACAGTTGAGACATGGATTGGGCATGTGTAATGGGCAAGACAAAATATTTAAATGCAGCTGGGTTTTTCCACGCTCAACAGTATCCTGTGTGTGTCAAGAATGGTCCACCACCCAAAGGACATCCAGCCAACTTGACACAACTGTGGGAATCACTGGAGTCAACATGGGCCAGCATCCCTGTGGAACACTTTCGACACCTTGTAGAGTCCATGCCCCGACGAATTCAGGCTGTTCTGAGGGCAAAAGTAGGGAGCAACTCAATATTCCGAAAGTGTTTTGTCCACTCAGTGTATTCTAGCCCCTATGGTTGTTTTTATTAATAGATGTAGAGACTAGAGGGAAGAGTGATAAACAGAGATGGGGTTCTATCAATTATATGATTGCCATAATTAACTATCATTAAAATATTAAATACAGCTCAATAAAGAGGGACTGGGGATTAGAATAAGGTCCATATATTATACGTTATTTTACAAGGGCTAAAGCTAAATGGCCCCATATATTCAACTCCAATAACACATTGCTATGGGAACCCTGGGACAATGGGTGGGGGTGTTGGGGTAGTAGGGGATTTAAAGAGGCAGGGTGGTATTATTTGGTTTCACTACCACCTTTCCAATTATACTAGAGATGATTAGTCAATTGATGATTGGAGTAGATATTCTCTCCAAGTTATAATGGCTCAAAGCAACTACAAGGTTACAAGGAAGTATACTAGTGAAAAGTAAGAAAAGGGTGAATGCAAGTTAAAAGAATCACCAGAATGGAGAAAGTCGCACACAGTTCTAGGCCACCCCAGGACAGAGGTTAGCAGGTTCATTCTATTACTCCAGAGATCAATGCATATTGATTAATAATAATAATATGCCATTTAGCAGACGCTTTTATCCAAAGCGACTTACAGTCATGCGTGCATACATTTTTTTGTGTATGGGTGGTCCCGGGGATCGAACCCACTACCTTGGCGTTACAAGCGCCGTGCTCTACCAGCTGAGCTACAGAGGACCACAGATTACTCTCAGAAATCCTGGTAGAGAATCCATAATGATACATCATTCATAAAGCATACAGGAACTGGTCTGAATAGATTATCCATGAACTGGGTTTGTTTGTTCTGAACATGGGCAATTTGCATTGATTTCTAGATGTGCTTACTTGGTGAGTTCGATGACGTGGCTAGTGGCTACCAGCTTTCTCAGAGAGTAGGCTGGTCCCGTTCTGTAGCCAACTCTTCTATCGTCGGCATGCCTTACATGCACTGTATGGGAGCTGGCCTGGGAGGACAGAACACTGGTAGCACCTTCTGCATCACCAGACAAGACTAGCTATAGGGAATGAGAGTCAGATCAGAGTGTGTGATAGAGAGAAAACGGGGACTTGGACTGTGTGTGATAAAACATTCAGGGACTATGAGGACGTCCTGGAGCCATAGTAAAAGGGTGGTAAGGGACATATTTCATATGCTAGGAGAGGATGGGTTGATTATGGGAAAGACTGTATCCTATCACGGCTAGCCCGGAGAAAGGAGATGGGGACATGATCATCATCCGTTCGTTCCATTACATATGCAGCGGATGCAGAGTGGGTAGGGAGCAATCAAAAGGGGAAAAAAGTGAGGAGGGAAGGTTAGGGGAAGGTGAGAAACATTTGAAGATGTAGAGATCATAAATGTAACAGACAGACAGAGAGAGAGAGAGAGAGAGAGAGGAGGAGGGACGGGGAAGAGGAGGGGGCCAGAGCCCTTTGCTCCTAGGAGGGGACTGATTTGGTTAGAGGACCAAACTAAGAGTAGGCAAGCAGCTCTTAAAGAAACAAAGGTACCACATATCAGAGTGAGGAGGGTCTGCTAGAAGGGATGGGGGATAAAATGGGGGGAAATACATAAACAAGAAAGGAGGGAGGGAGCAGAGGAAGAGAAAAAAGGGTCTGACAGGCTAGCAGAGAGGTCATATAGGAGATGTGGGGAAGTCCCAAATTGCACTCTATTCCCTACAGAGGCCTGGTTAAAGTAATGCACTATATAGGGAATAGGGTGCCATTTGGCCCTATCTTATAGGAGATGTGTTCTAGCCTCTGGCTCTTCATATCTTTTACATTTCTAATTAAAAGCGATAAAGAGTGAGGGAGGCATTAATCCACCAGTCATTTCCCAGTTAAGGTTTTAGAGCAGGCTGTAAACCAGGCAGCCTGGCATCATTGATTTTATAATTAGCTATCGTCACCCTAGACTTGAAATGGAGGGAGCGAGGGAGGGGTGGAAGGAGAGAGAAGTGCAGGTAAAGAGGGGCAGGAGGGGTGGAAGGAGAGAGAAGTGCAGGTAAAGAGGGGCAGGAGGGTAGGAAAAGAATGCAGAAGGAAAGATGAGACACATGTAATTAGCTAATTAGCAGCAGAAATGTCATGCCCTGAAGGAAGCGGCCTAAATTTAAACAAAATATTTATCTTCCATCAAAAGACAAACACATTACACGCTATTGATACACATACATGTTTTATTTTATTACAGAAACCCACCCACATGAACAGACAGTATATAGTACTACCAATAACTACAATTATTTTGTATAAGTAAGATGACCTCAACAAACATACACACCAGAAAACCACTGGAGCTTTATTGCAATGAGTAGATAGGTATCCTGAAAACAAGTTACACTATACACTCAAATAGCTCACAGTAGACATAGAAATATAATAGAATTTCCAACAGAAATCTAGAATGACGACAACAAAACGATAGATCTCAGTGCTACGGAACTTTTGGTACACATACCAGGATGTCAAAATCACCCACCCAGGGTAGCAACCAGATTTGTAGTACTAGACTACACTACAGGTATAGCTGAAAGGGTGTAGCGACAAAGAGGGGTACTCCAAAACCCACTGAAGCACAGCCTTCAATGAGCAAGGATGTCCATCAATGCTGACAAAGTTGTTATTATAATGGCCTGAGTTATATGTTACAGATGTCACACTTTCACTATGGCTACAACCCATGTGTGAACAAACTGTTGTCCTATACAGTAGCACCAATATCTCTACCCTTTGGACTAACTTTTCAAACCTTACCAGACAGTCGTGATAGATAATACAGTTAAATTGACCTTTAGACAGAAAATCTGGGAAAGAAAAAGAAATGAAGAAGAGTAAACACAACACAAGATGGTAATGATTATGATAATGAGAATAGATGACATAACATAGACAGTATTAATGATGAGTATCATTATGTTAAATTAAAATAAATGTTCCATCCCCAAAACATCTCCTATAGCAAAATAACTAGTGCAAATGCAGCAAATTACAAATCGACCAAGCAAAGTGTCCCAAGCGCATTCTTTTTCATTAGCAAGCTTTAAAACCCTAGCTTTAGTATTTTCTTCTTATTACACATATCAACTGTGTAGCTTAAACTAAAACTGGATATAATTTCATTACCATATAACTCAAGCTGAGTTTTGGTAGAAAATCATGAAGAAGTTATATAGTATTATTGACCCAGTAGTAACAATCTTTTCCAGGGCAGCCTTCATTGAGCAATAGTAGCAACACTCCCAACAAGTCTTGCAACGTCAGTATCCATAAATAGATTCTCTTATTATGATGAAATTCCTTCGTTTACCAATTTGTTCTTTTAGGTACAAATTTAGAATGGCTTCTTCACTCTGAAGCAGATATTTTCTGTATATCATGTACAGTGAATCTAGTGTAATACTAATGATCTTCTAGGACTTCTAAACACATACATTATATTTGCTTTAAAACAACACACTGATTTAAGATTTAAATCTGGTCTAATGTATGAAAATATTGCAGTGGCTCTACAGCTACCAGCATGCAGGAGCAATAGCTTTATGTTGCTGAGGATAGAATATTGGGAGTAAAACATATTGTGCAATAAAAACATGAGAGAACATTAAAATGTCATTCCTCTCACCGTAATTAGTAGCAACCACCGTTCTAGAGTGTCTCTTCCAGTCTACATTCAACCTGATTGCTCTCCCACTCAACTCAAACGTTCACCCTTTTCAGAAGCGTTTTCAACAGTTCTTCCCCATTCCGGATGCTTCTCTATCTTTGAGTCACCTCTCAACTAGTACTAGAACACCACTAATAAAGCAATAATTAAATAGTCTAATAATGAACAACAGAAAATGCTTATAATATAATATCTTAGGTTTGAATATAAGGAGGAAAAACATGATATGTATCTGTACTTTACAATGACTCTTCGAACATAGTTTTAGTATGTTTCAATGACTATTATTACAGTAGTCTGAAAGTTGTTACGCAGACGGAAGAGCGCAAATCAACTTTTAGATTTGAAAAGGAGACAGATATATTCACTCAAAATATCTTAATTACAGTTGCTGTCATGATGCCTCATAATAACTGCATCATAAAAATGACATAACACACGTCATAAAGCTCCCAACATCACTCCTCCTGCAACGGAAATAATCCTGTTATGGAACATGAACTATTAAACATCTAACTAAGCCTTAAATGTTAAACGTTTCACGCTTTAGAACAGTCACGATAGGTCGTAACTATGATTTGAGCTGTCACGACCTGTTATGACAGGTATTATGTCATTCTTTGGACCCATGTTATGTACAGAGGCAGCATAACAGCCTAGAAGTCACACCAAAGAAGAAGTTCATATACAATGTAGAAGCAAATTGCATATTAACATAGTTTGTCAGAGGAGGTGAATTGTAGTGTGTGTGTGCTTGTGCGCTGAATGCTGAATTAAAGTAAAGAGCACACTGACAGTGCTGTTGTTAACCTGGTCCTGTATCTCCACTCTCTACCACTGAGAGGTATTAGCCAGGTCACTGGAAGAGAGGGAACAGCGAAGAAAGGAATCAATAATCAATCAATATCTTTATCGTTCCAATTACAACATTTGTAGTGGAGTCATGGTACAGCGGAACTGTAGAAAAGGAACACATACGAGTAGAAAAGAGGTGAAAGCTGGAGGGAGGGAGAAATAGAGTGTGAAAGAGTGGGAGAGAGTGTGCTTTAATGATGCTGAAAATTGTAGTTAAATCATTGCTACAGCCTGCTGTCAACTTACCTGTCCCCTTGTCCTCCCTCACTCCCCTCCTCCCTCCCTCACACTGCCTATGTCTTACACACTCCCTTTCTCCTCACCTCCTCTCCACACTCCCTTTCTCCTCACCTCCTCTCCACACTCAACTTCTTGACTCAACTCCCGACATTCAAAACGTCCATCTCTGAGAGCCATACTCAGCCTGTCATCATAAAAAAACAGCCCTCTGTGTGTGGGTGTGAAGCTGCAGTGCATGTACTGTATGAGAGTGTGTGTATGTGTGTGTGCACGCAAATGTGGGTGTGTTTGCATGCACAGACAGTGTGTGTTACCTGAGGACCGTATCTGTGGTCTCAGGCAGCAGCATGGCTGTCTCCTCTCCAGAGCTGTGTCCTCCGCACTGGTCGGTGTTACCCTCCTCCTCCTGCACAGAGCGAGAGAGAGAGAGAGAAAGAGAGAGGGGAAGTTAAAGTGAGAGGTGAGGCATACACATGTAATAACCTAGCAATAGGTCTTTATAAGGCCATAATAGTGAAATAAGCCTCTAGTTGCCTTTCTAAGATATACAGTTTATCGGTGACAGTTAAATGAGCCACAGACAGAAACACTGGAGATAGCTGCATGTTATCAGCCTAAGGAAACAGCCTGGCTAATTGTGCAAGAATTAGTCATCTGTGTGTGTGTGTGTGTGTGTGTGTGTGTGTGTGTGTGTGTGTGTGTGTGTGTGTAAGAGCATCTGATACCGTCGCTTACCGACTCAGAGCTGTGTGTTAGGGTGTCTCCGCCCGATTGCCTGGGCAACAACAGGGGGGCGGGCTGGCTGATGACCACGCCCCCTCGGGACAGGGACCGGGACATGTCTCTGGGGGAGGAAGGGGGGGTGCAGGGGAGCAGGGAGTCAGGCTGGGCCTGGGGGTCACACAGGCTGTAATGGGCCAGGGGGCGGGAGGAGAGGGGGGGCTGGCGGGGGGGCTGGCGGGGGGGCTGCAGGGCCTCAGGGTTCTCATCCTCAGAGTCAGACAGAGGACTGTCATGGAGACCTGTCATACATACACAGAGTAGAAAACAACAGTGGTAAGTGATCATCAGAGCATGGCCAGGGACAGGAGTTCTCCCTGACTGGGAAAAGCTCCTGGCTCTAGTCTCCACTTATCTACAAGTCATCAGATCCTAGTCAGTGTAGAATAGAATCTCTTGTTGTGACATCACACAGATCAAATTAGTATTGCTGTACATGTAGCTCAGTGCTAGGGTGGGTCCACAGTGTTAGGTGGGTGTCTCCACTCACTGGTGGGGGTGAACACTGCAGCGCTCCACTTGGCATCTGCCACAGCCTCCCTCCTCTGTTCCACCTGACGCATGTACTCCATCAGGTCCTGTACAGAGCAGAGCAGGGCCGTCAGAGTTATCCCAAGACAACTACATTTACATTTACATTTTAGTCATTTAGCAGACGCGCTTATCCAGAGCGACTTACAGTTAGTGAATACATTTTTTTTTTTTATACTGGCCCCCCGTGGGAATCGAACCCACAACCCTGGCGTTGCAAACGCCATGCTCTATCAACTGAGCTACATCCCTGCCGGCCATTCCCTCCCCTACCCTGGACGACGCTGGGCCAATTGTGCGCCGTCCATGAGTCTCCCGGTCGCGGCCGGCTGCGACAGAGCCTGGATTCGAACCAGGATCTCTAGTGGCACAGTTAGCACTGCAAAGCAGTGCCTTAGACCACTGCGCCACTCAGGAAGTAAAATTATTATTACATTTATATTTTAGTCATTTAGCAGACGCTCTTATCCAGAGCGACTTACAGGAGCAATTAGGGTTAAGTGCCTTGCTTAAGGGCATATCGACAGATTTTTCACCTAGTCGGCTCGGGGATTAGAACCAGCAACCTTTCGGTTACTGGCACAACGCTCTTAACCACTAAGCTACCTGCCGCCCTCTAAGGCTAATCAACTAAGGCTCATCAACACCAAATTAACCCCTAGCCTCTACACCTCTAGACATGTATAGAAATCTCTCTGAAGTCTCCTAAGTGGGCACGGGCTAGCAGTTGACTTAGAAATGTGCATGTACAGTTGAAGTCGTAAGTTTACATACACCTTAGCCAAATACATTTAAATTCAGTTTTTCACAATTCCTGACATTTAATCCTAGTAAATATTCCCTGTCTTAGGTCAGTTAGGATCACCATTTATTTTAAGAATGTGAAATGTCAGAATAATAGTAGAGAGAATGATTTATTTCAGCTTTTATTTCTTTCATCACATTCCCAGTGGGTCAGAAGTTTACATACACTCAATTAGTATTTGGTAGCATTGCCTTTAAATTGTTTAACTTCGGTCAAACGTTTCGGGTAGCCTTCCACAATAAGTTGGGTGAATTTTGGCCCATTCCTCCTGACAGAGCTGGTGTAACTGAGTCAGGTTTGTAGGCCTCCTTACTCACACACGCTTTTTCAGTTCTGCACACACATTTTCTGTAGGATTGAGGTCAGGGCTTTGTGATGGCCACTCCAATAGCTTGACTTTGTTGTCCTTAAGGTCATTGTCCATTTGGAAGACCCATTTGCGACCAAGCTTTAACTTCCTGACTGATGTCTTGAGATGTTGCTTCAATATATCCACATAATTTTCCTTCCTCATGATGCCATCTATTTTGTGACGTGCACCAGTCCCTCCTGCAGCAAAGCACCTCCAAAGCATGATGCTGCCACCGCCGTGCTTCACGTTTGGGATGGTGTTCTTCGGCTTGCAAGCAACCCCCTTTTTCCTCCAAACATAACCATGGTCATTATGGCCAAACAGTTCTATTTTTGTTTCATCAGACCAGAGAACATTTCTCTAAAAAGTATGATCTTTGTCCCCATTTGCAGTTGCAAACCGTAGTCTGGCTTTTTTTAATGGCGGTTTTGGAGCAGTGGCTTCTTCCTTGCTGAGCGGCCTTTCAGGTTATGTCGATATAGGACTTGTTTTAATGTGGATATAGATACTTTTGTACCTGTTTCCTCCAGCATCTTCACAAGGTCCATTGCTGTTGTTCTGGGATTGATTTGCACATTTGCTGATTTCTTTTGATTTTCCCATGATGTCAAGCAAAGAGGCACTGAGTTTGAAGGTAGGCCTTGAAATACATCCACAGGTACACCTCCAATTGACTCAAATGATGTCAATTAGCCTATCAGAAGCTTCTAAAGCCATGACATCATTTTCTGGAATTTTCCAAGCTGTTTAAAGGCAGTCAACTTAGTGTATGTAAACTTCTGACCCACTGGAATTGTGATACAGTGAATTATAATAATCTGTCTGTAAATAATTGTTGGAAAAATTACTTGTGTCATGCACAAAGTAGATGTCCTAACTGACTTGCCAAAACTATAGTGTGTTAAAAATAAATGTGTGGAGTGGTTGAAAAACTAGTTTTAATGACTCCACCCTAAGTGTATGTAAACTTCTGACTTCAACTGTATGTGGAGAGTGGGAGAGTGGGAATGGTGGTTGAAGAGATGGAGGTATAAAGGTGGGGTCTTGCCTGTTGCTCCAGCAGCAGCTGTTCCTTCTCCTTCTGGGCCACCCTCAGACTGGCCTTCAGCTCCTGGAGCTCCCTGCATGTCTCACCCAGCTGCACCTGCAGGGGGCAGTCATCAAAAGAAGGAGTCACATACTTATATACACAGCCTAACCAGCAGCACAGCACAAGCCATTAAAGAGACTAGTGAACATGACCCAGCATGTTGACAAAAATATATGCCATTTATCCAAAGCGACATAGAGCTCCCGAGTGGCGCAGCGGTCTAAGGCACTGCATCTCTGTGCTTGAGGCGTCACTACAGACCCTGGTTTGATTTCCAGGCTGTATCACAATCCGGCCGTGATTGGGAGTCCCATAGGGCGGTGCACAATTGGCCCAGGGTAGGCCGTCATTGTAAATAAGAATTTGTTCTTAACTGACTTGCCTAGTTACATTTTTTTAAATACAGTCATGTGTTTATACATTTTAGGTTAGGGTGGCCTCGGGAATTGAACCCAAAATCATGGGATTGCAAGCGCCATGCTATACCAACTGAGCCATACAGGACCAACAAGGCTGAATGGTTTTCAATACTGTATAGCAAGACACATGGAGTGTTAGCGTAGTATCCTGAGCCGAGCTATGAGCTTGTGTAGAGAGTTGATGTTGTATCTATTAATAGCTTGAAATGTTGCTTTGCATGTAGCCTATGGTCTGTGGTACAGTAGGTGTTAGTTTTTACCCGGTTACAGTCCTTCTCTCTTCCCAGCTCCACTTCCACCTTCTCTCTCTCCATCCTCTCCTCCTGAAGCTTCTCCTCCATCCGCTGCATCTCTCCATTTAGCTTCTCCAGACGCTCTCTGGCCTTCTGCCAGGGTGAGACACACACACCGTTAACACTAGTCAACAGAATGTTGATATGTGCTTTTGCTGCTAGGACATTCTGAAACTTGAATTCAAAGTTCAACAGGAGATACTGAGAAATTCTGTATCTAGAAGACGTGAGGTTTTCCTAGTGTTGCAGCTATCTCACATAGTGGAACAGAAAGAGGAGACCTTGCACAAGCATCATTTCCAGCAGAGTAATGCAATCTCTAGTTCAAATCTGAGTGGAGTATATTAGTACTGTATGGCTGTGAGTGAGGGTTCTGTAGAGGTTGGCCTACCTCAATCGAGAGTCACTATCATTGTGAAATGCTTTGACTACCTGAGTAATCCAATTCATGTGATTAAGTCCATCCATGTGATGATTATTGTTATTACCTCAGTGCTGCACTGCAGGCTCTGTCTCTCCTGGGCCCAGTGTGCTCTGCCCTCCCTCAGGGCCAGGCTGGCGTCAGCTAGCTGTAGGGTGAGCTGTGCCGCCTGGAGCCTGGCCTGGTGCAGTTCTGTCTGACCCTGGTCCCTCTGAGCCACCAGGGCACACAGCTCTCCCTTCAGGCCCTCCGCACAACGCTCGCTGGCCCCCAGACGCTCCCGCAGGCCCCGCATCTCAGCCAGGGCGGCCTCGCTCTCTGCCTGATAGGAAAGACAAGAGGAGATGATAGTTCAGCAACAATAACATGGTTTTGTTAGACGACTGGTGAGCCATGGGACATTGGGTACTTTCCTGTCACATAAAATAACCTCAATAGCATGGTTTTTGTTAGATGACTGGTAAGAACAAGGGACAGCAGTGGTTCCTGCCATTTTCCTGTTACATTGTCTTTTGTTCTTTCCCCTCCCAATCCCCTACATCCTTTTCTTAACTGCCCTCAGCCCTCTGTGGGTGGTGCCAGCCTCACCTCTTTCCTCTGTGCCGTATTCAGCCTGTATGTTAGGGTGGTGATGGTGTCCCGTAGCTGTAGGGCGTGTGTGTCTCTCTGGGCCAGGGAGCTCCTCAGACCCTGGAACTCAGCAGACAGACTCCGCAGGTCTCCCTCGGTCTGCTCCAGCGTGAGCTGAGGAAGACACAGGGATAGAAGAAGAGGAGGATGAGGGGTTTGGGATCAGACATGATGTGTGGTCAGTGTTTGGGCACAAAATGGCTGCTGTGCTTCACCCAGGTAGGATGCTACATGTTGGTAGTGAAAAGCAGTAAATAAATCCAAGTCATTATAGTACCTGCAGAACGTTCCTCTCTTTCTCCTCCTCCCTCCTTTGAACTGCGTGCTTCTTGGTCCTCTCCTTCATCCTACAAACAGAAATGGGGTTAGCATTAACCAGAGAATAGAGTATGGAAAACAGGCACACCGATGGACGAAGATGGAGATTGAGGGAGATAAGGATAGAAAGAGAGAGAGTTCGAGGGAGATAGAGAAAGTCTCTGACCTCTCCAGCTCAGTCTCTCGTTCCAAAGCCTTCAGTGTCAGGGCTTTAATGTCATCCTCCAGCTCTCTGATTCGCTGTTCACTGGCTGCTTTCTTAGTCAGTATGGAACTCTTCTCTTGAGCCAAGGCCTCCCCTGACGCCTCCACCTCCTGTGATGGGGGAGGGAGGGAGGGGGGGAGAGAGAGAGAGAGAGAGAGAGAGAGAGAGAGAGAGAGAGAGAGAGAGAGAGAGAGAGAGAGAGAGAGAGAGAGAGAGAGAGAGAATATATATTCTATATAGTGTATATACAGTATCCTGAGACTCCTTTGTAGATGATAAAGCACATTTGACCTGTAAATGAACTGCTCCTATTTTGACATTTAACATAGCAGGAGATCATATATCTGGGGTTGTGATCTTGTCATTCTACGTCAAATCGCATTTTACAAAGATAAGTGCTCATGACCAGACACTGGGGCTACTTGGACATAATCAAATCACCTTGGCACAGACATGAATCCTGTCTTGTAATGTTACTGTACCTCCTGCCTCCTCTCCATCTCTTCCATCCTGTCTCTGCTTTCTCGCAGCTCTTCCTTCAGCTCAGCGACGTTCCTCTCCAACTCCTCACACCCTCTGTCCCACGCCTCTCTCGCCCTCCTGTACTTCTCCCTCTCTCTCTCCTTCATCCTCTCGGCTGCCTCCCGTGCATGGAGCAGCTCGGCTCGCTCCCGCAGACACTCTTGCAGGCGACTCTGGAGGGAGAGACAAAACAGGAACTGAGTGCCTAAAAGATGATCCATCTCCATCCTCCATCTCTTTGTAATTGACTATTGATTCTCATCTCTGCCTATCCATTTCATCAACGTTCATTCACCCTCTCTATAACTGAAAGAAGATATGGACTTCCCACTACAGTACTCTCTCTCTCTCTCGCACCTGCACTCCTCTATGCCCACCTGCAGTAGCTCGGCCCTGGGTACGACCAGAAGCATGTCGGTCCCCCCCTCCTCTCCGTGGGCTCCTTCCTCCAGGGTGACCAGGTCCTCCAAAGGCTTGGGGGCGCTGAAGATAAACTGGGGGCTGGCAGAGCACACATCTCCCTTCCCATCCACGTACACAAACTGGTACTGCTGGGAACTGGACTTGGGCAGATAGGAGGCTGCAAGAGGGAGGAAGGGAGTGGGAGAGTGAAATGGTCAATGGATTATTGATCTAGATGTATACATGCTTAATACTGCTAAAAATGTATTTGTGGCCATGATTTCAGTTGTATATGATGACATCTACACAGTGGTGTAAAGTACTTAAGTACAAATACTTTAAAGTACTACTTAAGTTGTTTTTTTGGGTATCTGTACTTTACTTTACTTTTTATCTTTTTTACAACTTTTACTTCACTACATTCCTAAAGAAAATAAGGTACTTTTTACTCAACACATTTTCCCTGACACCCAAAAGTACTCGTTACATTTTGAATGCTTAGCAGGACAGCAAAATTGTCAAATTCACGCACTAATCAAGGGAACATCCTTGGTCATCCCTACTGCCTCTGATCTGGCGGACTCACTAAACACAAATGCTTTGTTTGTAAATTATGTCTGAGTGTTGCAGCGTGCCCCTGCCTATCCGTAAATCTAAAAAACAAGAAAAATGTGCTGTCTGGTTTGCTTAAAATAATCAATTTGAAATGATTTATACTTATATTTTTGCAATTACATTTACTTTTGATACGTAGGTATATTTAAAACCTAATACTTTTACTCAAGTAGTATCTTACTGGGTGACTTTCCCTTTTACTTGAGTCATTTTCTATTAAGGTATCTTTACTTTTACTCAAGTATAACTATTGTGTACTTTTTCCACCACTGCATGCACTATAGATAACCAACCTCCTCTTTTGTGGTGAAAAACTGTGACAAGTGGGCATAATCCTGAATGTGCTTTGACTACATCAGATGCCTGGCTTCCGCATTTACTCTGTCTCCTCAGTCCTCACCACAGATGATAAATTACAGTGTTGATGATAGCTGTTCATCTCCCTGACACAACTCAATGACACAGCTGCTCTGCTCTGGCTGGCTTTCTGTGGCTATCTGTAGTCACCTCAACTAGCACCGTCACTGAGAGGACGGAGGACACTTTATACACAGTATAAAGTCTGGAAGCTACTGTGCTGTAATGTTAAAAGGACACTTTTCACTCTGTGCTCTGTATTCAACCCTGACTGCCTTAGCGTAATGTATGGTTGGTTATTCAGTCTGGTCTGGTCTTTGCAACATTCTCTCTCATCCTCATTACTCAACCTCCTACTTCTTAAAGGAATTGAATCAGAGCCAGACAAAGACTGATTTAAATTCCAACAGAGAGAGGGAGAGAGAAGGGAGGGGGGGATAGATAGATAGAGAAACAATCTGATCATCTCCTCTCTGTAACACTATGTAACTTATTGAGTCCTTTCTCTGCTTTAAATATCAGTCACGAGCCTATAGTACTATTCAACAGGCAATTCAATTGACCAAAAGACTAATCCAAAGTTAGAGCGTTTCCATACAGACCTTGGCAGAGTATAATGTTGTGAAATAAAGATGGATACCAGCACACCGTTGAATGGTCTCACACTTTTGTTGAGTGTGGATATCTATATTTGATGACCCTGCACCTGCAAGTTAATGATGATCACGTGTACACTACTTTCTGAACAGTGTGAATGTTGACCAGGCACAGTTTGTACGAAATAGAGGAAGGGTTCGCAGAGAGAGACTAGTACCCTGGAAGTGAACACAGCAGTTGACATCTGTGCCCTCCTGGTAGCCTGCCGGGGCCAGGGCCCAGACAAAGGTGTGGTAGTCCTTCACTGACGACCATCCCACCTGACGGAGTCAGCAGAGAGAGAGAGGGAGAAAGAGATTGGGAGACAGATAGAGTTAAACAAGGGGAGAGGGAGAGAGACAGGATGACATAAAAACACACACAAAAATCGGGTTATTAATATATACAGTAACATTGAAAACAGTTGTGCATTTCACTTGATTTCCACATAACACAGTCTACCACTCCTCAGGGTGGGTTTTACTCATTTATCAGGATAACCTTATCAGTTATCAGGTTAACCTTATCAGTTATCAGGTTAACCTTATCAGTTATCAGGTTAACTTCATACCTTGAAGAGTCCGATCCAGTCATGGCTGGCCCAGGTATGTTGGGAGCTGATACTGTAGTGGCATTCCACACGGCTCTGAGGGAAGTAGCTACTACCCACGTTCCTAAACTCCACCCTCCAAGCCTTCTCCATGGCAACACAATAACACACGTAGGCTGGTGAGTACCTGTGGGGATACAGGTGTGAGATAGAACAACGTTTTTGTATTACAACGACATTTCATTTGACAACAGCTATAATAATCACAGGTAGACACCAGACCTGAGACCTGTGTTTTCAAACACTTTCAAATACCTTTGATGTTGTTGTTTGGTAAAACAGACCCAATAGAGTAGTCACAAAAGTGCAAACTTGAAGTGAAATCTAGCACACCTCAAATAACTTCAACTATTTTAAAGTATTTGACTAATGTACTCAAGGACCTGTTCAGAGGAGCATATGGAGAAGTAGGTGAGAGGTGACTGCCGAGTAACAAACTGCTGAGAGAAGGAGAGGTCTACTCTGGGAGTGTTTGTTCAGTGAAAGATGATCTCCTCTCAGTGACCATATGGAGGGCATGGAAAAGCATGGGGGAAGGACACCCCCACCCCCCTGGGCTAGTACAATCTAGATGACAGTTAGGCCCATAACCACCATAATACATTACCTCTACTACATGACAACAACACAGTCACTGGGACTATTTATTTCAGCCATTGCCTAACACCTTTTTTTTTTTTTGTCCACCACTCTAGTCACGTGTCGACATACATATAGGCTTACGGTTCACTTCTTGTTTAAAAAATCAACAGTGACGTGGGACTAGTATCCAGGCAGATACACAGTAGCCAACAAAATATACATTTGATATCGATCACTATTGTACTGGCAGGGATAAATGACGACAGGTGTCAGTCTAAATCCCAGTAATACAATGCAACCTCTAATTAGCTAAATTAAGAGCGTTGTATTAAAGAACAGCATGGAGCAGTAGGCTTATATCTAACATATCTGGCTAACATGTGCTCCATATTACAGAGATTACAAAAGTGTAAATAGTGCGAACTCTTGAGAACGTGTATGAGGTAATAACACGTTCATAAACCATGTATAACGCATTAACAAGCACACAACAAACAACTTGCAGCCGTTAGTCCACCTGACACGAGCATTAATTAATGTTTGTGTTCTATTTATTTTGTTAGAAATTAGCAAAAGCCCACAAACAATACAATCTGTGATAATAAACGATTTATTCTATTATATAACTAAAATACCTCTAAATTTCAAAGAGTGTTCAAATTACACCGCACGAGATTCGTGTCAAGACAAGGCCCACTAGCCTAGCAGCTGTAGTCTCCAGTGTGCGCAATAATAGACTAGGACACGTTGTCCAGAGGAAAAAGAAACCCATGGTGTGTGCGATCCAGACTCCCTTGTTGCTCAAAAGCCAATAATCAGGACCATCGGGACCGTTAACCGATCTCACCGTAGTGTAATGTTTTAAAGAAAACGTGTGCACCATCAACAAATACTTGTGCGTCACTAAATAGGACAATTAGCTCGTTTTCCTTTGTGTTAGTTTCTGCAGAGGGAGAACTCTACGCAGATACAGATCGCCAGAGTTTATTTGACTGAGACTCACCTTATTCTGGCCTGTTTGCTCTGCAGATTGTCCAATTGAGCCGTCCCTATTAGATTAAAGAGAGACAAAGTCCATCGGTGTCAGAAAACGATTTAACGGTTTTTTTTAAAGATGCACAACGATGTCTCCTTGCTCTCAGCTGTTCCTACAACAATAACAAAAACACAGGCATCACAGTGTGTTTGTTGTATTATGGGAACTGCTGTTCTTCATAGCTGGTTGAAGCACATATCTGAAGCTAGAGATTATAGGATAAAAACTACAACCCCCAAACACAGAGAAGACGCTCTATGGTCGCATTCGGGACATCGCGTTCTGTAATTTGATGATTTTCCGCGTCCTTGGCTGGTTCATATTTTTTTCTCACCGATTGCAATACGCGCTCACTCTCATTGGTCATGCCATGGCCTTAATAAAAACGGGCCTATTATAAAGCGCAACGTCATCGAAGCGCAGAGAAAAACAACTCATTAGGTTTAATATGAATTGCTTTTGATGAGAGCAACCATAATGCATTGCATTTGCAACAACAACTAAATGTAAAATTGCTGTAATACTGTCTATCATAGCTGCCTGCTCCCAGTATGGTCTTGTTTAGCCCTGTAAAATAGTCCTATGATTTACTTGCCCATCTTCAGGGAAAACGGGAGTCTTAATTCACTCCTGAGTGACACTTGAGCATGGCATGCATGGCAGCATTGGCAGATGAACAGACATGACAGATGTAGGAGAGGTAGTATTGCATGACAACACTCCATTTGGGATGAAGTGCTAGCCTACTATAATAAGCATCTCTCTCGCTCCCTCTCTGTCTCTCCCTGGTGTGCACGTGTGTTGACAGTATATGCTGCTTATACATTGTAATAGCCTACTTATTCATGTTTATAATGCTTATGTCAATATTTATAAATATTATTTATACATGTTTGTAAAATAGTGGGCCCAGAGTAGCCAAGGCAGATGTATACTCCCCACCTACAAGCAGTAACTCAAGAGGGAGCCACCAACACAGAGAATAGTGAGGCAGTTGACAGAGAAGGCAGACTCGATGCTACATATAGTATTGTTTTGACAATACTGATTGGAATATGTTCAAAGGTTCATCCACCTAGGACTCATCCATCAACATTGAGGAATATACATCGTCAGTCACAGGCTTCATTAGGAAATGTGTTGATGATGTTGTACCCACGATAACAATCTGGACATACCCCAACCAAAAACCCTGGATGAACGGAGATATCCGTACCATGCTGAGAGCCTGTACTGCAGCATTCAATGTCAGCAGAACGAACCCCGATGACTCAGTGGCGTGCAACGCGTACAATGCAAGTAGATACGAGCTCCGTCAATCCATTAGGTACGCAAAAAGACAATACAGACTCAAATTTGAATTGCTGTTCAACTTGTGACACATGTGGAAAGGACTACAGACTATCACAGACTACAAAGGCAAATCCAGCTGTGTGGTGCCCACCGAAGCCTCCCCAGATGAGTTTACACATTGTATGCTCGCGTCGAGGCAGCCAATACCGAGCCATCCAGGAAGACTCTCGCTACTCCGGACGACCAGGTGCTTTCGCTCTCCAAGGCTGATACAAAGCCGCCGGCCCAGATGGCATCCTTGGCCACGTCCTCAGAGTGTGTGCTGACCAGCTGGTGGGCGTCTTCCCAGACATCTTCATCCTGTCCCTGTGGTTTCCTTGTGTTTGATGTCATTCCATTCGCTCCGTTCCAGCCATTATTATCAGCCTTCCTCCCCTCAGCAGCCTCCATTGATTCTACACAATTTTTCCCTCTAAGCTCGACACCAAGCTTAGAGCCCTGGGTTTGCACACCACCCTCTGCAACTGGATCCTGGACTTCCTGAGGGGCACACCACAGGTTGTGAAGATTGGCAACAACACCTCCTCAACACTGACTCTTAACACAGGGGCCCCCCATAGGTGTGTCCTCAGCCCTCTGCTGTACTCCGTGTTTACCCATGACTGCGTGACTTTGCAATACCCCAACACCATCATCACGTTTGCAGACGACACCACAGTTGTAGGCCTGATAACCAACAACAATGAGTCAGCCTATAGGGAGGAGGTAAGTGAACTGGTATTGTGGTGCCAGGACAACAACCTCTCCCTCAACGTCAGCAAAACAAAGGAGTTGATGTTGACTTCAGCAAGCAGATCCACATCAACACTCAATCCACATCAACAGGACTGCAGTAGAGAGAGTCAGCAGTTTTAATTTCCTCTGAGGACTTGACATGGACCAACAACACCACCACTCTTGTCAAGAGGGCGCAACAGCGTCTCTACTTCCTAAGGCGGCTGAAGAAATTCGGAATGCCAACCAGGTGCTCTTCAAATACTACTGCTGCACCATCAAGAGCATCCTGAAAGGTTGCATCATGGCCTGGTGTAACAGTGATCCTTCCATCCCTCTCCTCGCCCCTAGCTGGGCTTGAACCAAGGACCCTCTGCACACATCGACAACAGTCACCCTCGAAGCACCGTTACCCATCACTCCACAAAAGCCGCGGCCCTTGCAGAGCAAGGGAAACAACTACTTCAAGGTCTCAGAGCGAGTGACGTCACCGATTGAAACGCTACTAGCGCGCACCGTTAACTAGCTAGCCATTTTACACCGGTTACACTGGTACAGGAATTGCTCCATCCACAGCCACAAGGCCCTCCAGCAGGTGGTGAAGACGGCCCAGTATATCACTGGGACCCTGCTCCCACCCATCCAGGAGAGCTACACGAAACGGTGCCTGAGGAAGTCCTGCAGAGCATCATCAAAGACACCCCAGCCCGAGCTGTTCATTCCCTTACCGTCGGGCAGATGGAACATGGGGTCTCATACCAACAGACTCAGAGACAGTTTCTATCTACAAGCCATCATACTGCTGAACACTTGAACTGGACTGACCATGCACTCTCGCCACACCTTAGCACACATGCACTCACTCACACCCCCCCCCCCCCCCCCCCACACAGATATACAGTGCATTCGGAAAGTATTCAGACCCCATCACTTTTTCCAGATTTTGTTACGTGACAGCCTTATTCTAAAATGAATTAAATAAAACATTTCCCTCATCAATCTAAACACAATATCCCATAATGACAAAGCGAAAAGAGGTTTTTAGAAATGTTTGCAGATTTATTACAAATGAAAACGTATTCAGACACTTTGCTACGAGACTCGAAATTGAGCTCAGGTGCATCCTGTTTCCACAACTTGATTGTAGTCCACCTGTGGTAAATTCAATTGATTGGACATTATTTGGAAAGGCACACACCTGTCTATATAAGGTCCCACAGTTGACAGTGCAAAAACCAAGCCATGAGGTCGAAGGAATTGTCCAAAGTGCTCCGAGACAGGATTGTGTCGAGATCTGGGGGAAGGGTACCAAAAACTTCTGCAGCATTGAAGGTTCCCAAGAACACAGTGGCCTCCATCATTCTTAAATGGAAGAAGTTTGGAACCACCAAGACTCTTCCTAGAGCTGGCCGCCCGGCCAAACTGAGCAATCGGGGGAGGAGGGCCTTGGTCAGGGAGGTGACCAAGAACCCGATGGTCACTCTGACAGAGCTCCAGAGTTCCTCTGTGGAGATGGGAGAACCTTCCAGAAGGATAAACATCTCTGCAGTACTCCAGCAATCAGGCCTTTATGGTAGAGTGGCCAGACAGACGCCACTCCTCATTAAAAGGCACATGACAGCCCGTTTGGAGTTTGCCAAAAGGCACCTGAAGGACTCTCAGACCATGAGAAACAAGATTCTCTGGTCTGATGAAACCAAGATTGAACTCTTTGGCCTGAAAGCCAAGCGTCACGTCTGGAGGAAACCATGCACCGCTCATCACCTGGCCAATACCATCCCTACGTTGAAGCATGGTGGTGGCAGCATCATGCTGTGGGGATGTTTTTCAGTGGCAGGGACTGGGAGACTAGTCAGGATCGAGGGAAAGATGAACGGATCAAAGTACGGAGAGATCCTTGATGAAAACCTGCTCCAGAGCGCTCAGGACCTCAGACTGGGGCAAAGGTTCACCTTCCAACAGGACAACATTTACATTTTAGTCATTTAGCAGACGCTCTTATCCAGAGTGACTTACAGTTAGTGAGTGCATACATTTTCATACTGGCCCCCCGTGGGAAACAAACCCACAACCCTGGCGTTGCAAGCGCCATGCTCTACCAACTGAGCTACACGGGACAACGACCCTAACCACACAGCCAAGGCTGTTTTTTTTATAAATTTGCTAACATTTCTAAAAACCTGTTTTTGCTTTGTCATTATGGGATATTGTGGGTAGATTGATGAGGAAAAAAACTATTTAATAAATGTTTGAATAAGGCTGTAACGCAACAAAATGTGGAAAATTGAAGGGGTCTGAATACTTTCCGAATGCAGTCATCCACACACACACACACACACACACACACACACACACACACACACACACACACACACACACACACACACACACACACACACACACATACATTCATGCTACACACACATCAAAACTGCCGGTACCAGACTTAGTATGATTGCTAAGAACTGCACAATTTAAACACTTGCCCCCAATCCCCCCTTCCCCAAAACATGTGTAAATATTGCACTATAAATTGTGCCTTCCTGTATTATACTTATGCTTAAATGTTTATTTTATTCTGCTGAGCCATTTACTTTATGTTAGTATTCTTATCTTTGATTATTTCTTATTGTTGTCGCATTGTCGAGAAGGAACCTGCAAGTAAGCATTTCTTTGGACGGTATATACCATGTGTATCCCGTACATACGACTAATAAAATGTGAAACTTGAAACTAAAGCAGGCTTGCAAAAAGGTCTTCAAGTGCAAAATGGTCTATTTACAATGTCGTAATGCATGATGTCCATATGTAAGCTACAGTAAATGATGATAAGACAAAACTCTGTTATTTACAAGAATCCAAAAAGGTCTTACTTGAATAAACTTTTCAAGGTCATTTAAAAGCTCAATCCAAATGCCATATGGCATGCCAGAGCTCACACGCTACAGGGAGTTTCCACAATTGGTCAATCCATGATGGGAAGTGTGCAAGTGCACACTTTGTGAGAAGAGTGGAGAATTATGATGCAGCCACATGGTCCCAGTAGAATCTGCTTCTGCAGACACCAGATGGCAGTGTACTTTAACCAAACCTTCTGCATAAAGCCTCCAGAGCCTCCACTCTCAGTTGATATAGACACTAGCCAGATGCCTTCACCATGCCTGGTTCAGTCTGTTCTTGCAAGTCAGAACTGGAAATGGTCAG